CGCGCTTGTGACGCAGGCGGGATCACGAGCAGGGCCTCTCCAGATGACCGAAGCGATGGCTTCAAACTACAAGAAAGGAGATTCCATCTGAACATGAGGAAGAACTTCCTGACTGTGAGAGCCGCTCAGCAGTGGAACTCTCTGCCCCGGAGTGTGGTGGAGGCTCCTTCTTTGGAAGCTTTTAAACAGAGGCTGGATGGCCATCTGTCAGGGGTGATTTGAATGCAATATTCCTGCTTCTTGGCAGGGGGTTGGACTGTATGGCCCATGAGGTCTCTTCCAACTCTTTGATTCTATGATTCTATGATTCCTCTTGGCCATGGAAACCATAACCTTCAGTGAGCCACATGTTCTCAGCCTCAGAAAACTCTGTGATAACTCTGCCATAAGTGGGAAATAACTTGAAGACATACAACTGCAAAAAAGTTTATTGTTATTCTTGTCAAATGATATCGTTCTTTTATAATTAAGTTATTCATTTCAGATTAAATGCTAAATATTCAGAGCCACACACTGTATTGTTTAAACTATTAAATGTTAGTTTCAAAATGCCTTGTGAGTGGAGGGTCCTTCCATACAGGCTCTATATCCCAGGATCTGATCCCAGGTTTTCTGCTTTAAAACTAGATTATATGAGGCCCTTTCCACATAGCTGAATAACATCCCACACTATCAGATTTGAACTGGGAAATATAGTAGTGTGGACTCAGATATCCTGGTTCAAAGCAGATATTGTGGGATTTTCTGCCTTGACGTTCTGGGTTATATGGCTGTGTGGAATGGTCCTGAGTCGGCACTGACAGATAATCTGAGATAAACAGAAGATCTGTGATCAGATCCTGGAATATAGGGCTTGTCTGGACGGGCCCTGGATGTACTGACTGACTTTGATTTCTGAAGTGTATATACTAAAATTTAAAGAACATTATATATTCTACACTCAAAGAGATACATTCAAAATCAACATCATACAGTGTAGAATTTCCTTCTGCTTTGCTATTCCATGCCAAAAAGGAAGAGACATGCTCAGTAATAGACTTGAAAGATGTTTTTAAGCAATTACTTACATCACTGCAGGAAGCGATAGCATAACAAAGTCGGTAGATGGCACTCTTCCCTCCAGATCAATGTTGTTCAGCACATTTTCCTGGGACATGGTGATGTTGGAAGTACACAGATCCCCCCCCCCCCTCACCAGATAAACTAAGTTTTTAAACACATGTGGTCAATAAAAATCCCATCACATTTTTTTGCAAGTGTGGAGGTATAAAGGCCTTGGGGTCCTGGACAAATTCCAATCCAGTTAATTAATTTCTTCCTGGAATAAAAGTATACCTGGCATTTCAAAGCCTCCTGAACCTTAAAAGAATTAGTAAGTAAAACATGCAGCAGTAATTCATAGTATTTGGATTAAAGGCTTGATAAAGATAATTATAATCATCCCATATTTTCTACTTGCTCTTTATACGTCCATCCCACCAAAAACACCCTCATCTGATTATGACACATTTGGAAACTTGAAACCATAAAGACAATTGATGTCCATAAAGCAGAAGAAATATCCCAGTAAAGACAAGATGTTTGCATTTTCCTATAAGTGGGCCCCAAGAGAAGCCACATTATAACTGTGGACTTTCTTTTCCTGTTAACCTAGCTAAGTGATAATTTATCAAAATAAATCATCTTGTTCTGAGAAAACTCTGATGCCTTGCGTTTTCCCTCAAAATGACTGGTTATAAATTTTTTGAAACAGCTGATAATATTGCCAAATCTTTAATATCAATGGTAGCTTTTGGCCTGCTTTTTGGCCACTGAATTAAGATGACATCATTCATTCACAGTTCTTACCTTATGACAAGTGTAATCTCCCAACACCTCATTATCAGAAACATTTTCAGAATTGCATATATCATTTTGCTTAACTTGTGCATTTTATAGCATACAGTTGAAAGGTGGGAAATTTAAGACTGTTCATTGATAAGAAAATAAACAAAGATTTGAGGATTTTTTTCAGAGTAAATTTATATTGTAAGGTTTAAATGGCTGGGATGCTATTTTCTAGAAACCTATATCACAAAGTTCAGAAGTGTCCTAGGACGCATCTGCGCCAGCTCACCCATGGAGCTCCACACTGCCCATCATATGACAGAGGGCGACTTCTAGTGGGGCTCTGCGGGGAAACTGGGGTGGAAGCGTGGTGGGATGCTGCCGCTGGCAACAGACAAGCCACTCTGTGTTCCATTAGGAACAAGAGGGCTTCTGTGGAGCAGCAACACTTTCCCACATGAGATGGGAAAGCATCAGCTGGTGGCTAGGGATTGCCCCTCTGCCACCCAGATTCACCGCAGAGGCTGGCGAATCATGATGCTGGACTTCATCAATGTGCTGAGGTCACTAATTGCTAAAAGCTTTAGAACAGATAAGTAAGGAAGAAGATAATGTTCTAAAGCAGTGGTTCTCAACCTGTGGGTCCCCATATGTTTTGGCCTTCAACTCCCAGAAATCCTAACAGCTGGTAAACTGGCTGGGGTTTCTGAGAGTTGTAGGCCAAAACACCTGGGGACCCACAGGTTTAGAACCACTGCTTTAGAACATTATCTTCTTCCTTACTTATCTGGTTCTCTGAAGATGCATAGGATTGGGCCAGTTTTTGAAATGCATTAGAGTACTTGGCACTATGTAGATGAGAACAGTGTTTCATCCTGTCATTTGTAGCTATATTTAAGACTCAGTAAAGAGCATTCAATGCAGGTCAGTAACAAGCTTTCTTTCTTTTATAAGCTTCTTTAGTGTCAATCCATATTTAATTATGGCTTTGGTCATTCATTGAAAAGTAAACCCACATTGCTATCTAGATAACATTTTTGACCTTCAAAAAGGGTGTTGCTTTAGCTTTCCCAATAGGGTCAATTCACACATAATGCTGCTCATTAATGCAATTGCTCTTGGTAGCGATTTCTTTGCCATTTCTATGATAATGAAATATAAATATTTTATACAGATGAATGTTTTCATGGTTACACTATGCTTGGCAGATCTCCAGATCTGACCCAATAGATTACTATCAGAAAGCCAACACAAATGGAAGGCTAACATTAACGTTGGCAATTGCAGGAAAGTTCTTACATGTAGAGTATAGAGGGAAAGGTAATGACCTATTATATGGAATTATGTTTAGGATCAACATTTCTTCTCAGAATGTAGACTTCTAACAGATAGATATTCTTGGGAGGTTCCAGGCAACCCATTGGTGCTATCTGAATCACATGCATGGTCTTTAGGATCTGGAATGTTCAACTGTGATTATGAAGATTAGAGCAGAGAAAAAAGTGTTTTCTGGTAAAAGTCACAATTCCTGTAATAATTGTGTTAAAGTGTGGCACAGGATATTGTACACCGATATATCCGTTTTATTCAGCAATGAACATAGAATGTAAAATATGGTTTTGTAAACACAGGTTTACAAATTTGAAATGCTTGGAGGCCAGAAGTGTTTTGGATTTTGGATTTCTCCTCATTTTGGAATAGCTGTACTTGCATTTATATACATAACAAGATATCTTGGGGATGGGCTCCAAGTTTAAATGCAAAATCCATTTATGTTTCATATACAGTTTATAAATATAGCCTAGAGTTAATTTTATACAATGTTTTAAATAATTTTGTCCTTAAAATGAAATTTGTGTATACATTGAACCATCAGAAAGCAAAGCTGTCATTATCTCAGCCACTCATGTGTACAGCTTTGCATTATGGATTATTTTGGATTTTTATATTCTTGATGCTCAGCCTATGTACATATGTAACCCCCACCAAAAAAGAGTGGCAGTAAAAAGTATGAAGTATACCATGATTCTTTTAAGTCATGCATTAGGCAAAGCCAGTGTTCAGCATAGATAGAATGGAGCTCTAGTTATTTATGGTTTAATTGGTCATTGGGCCCTTGCCTGTTTCAACAACCCTTGACTCCCACAGTGAGGTGGACACTGTGCTTCTACTGTTGCCCCTAAAAGTCAGAGAAAGAAAAGAATATGAATTCCGCTGGGAGATGGGATCATCTTGCTGAGGAGTCTCTGTTTGCAACTCCTGCTCACCCATTTAATGATCTATTACAGAAGTTTCAAACTCATTTCACTGAGGGCCACATCAACCTTATTGTTAGATTCAAAGGACCATTTCTTATTGTAAGACTGTATAAATATAACTATGTTGCCCTGGCATTGAAAGCCTTGTGGGTCACATGAAATAACGTAGAGGACTGCGTTTGGGCCACAGGTCTTGAGTTTAACATAAATGTTCTGTTAGATCCTCAGCCCTGTCCTTTATAGACGAATCATGTTAGTCTTCCACAGAACATTGGTTTGCTGTGTGCCAGCCTTTTTAGTTAGATGTTGTGCATCCAGGTGTATTTAAGTTTGAACACTAGTTTGCTTCATCTTACATTAACATCAGTTTTGAAATACAGTAAATATACCAGAAGAATATCTGTATGATCTTTTAATGCAATTACCCATAAATACACATTTTAATGTACTTTTCTGACTGAGCATACTTTCCATAAGTGTTTTTTCTTCAATGTAATGCTTTTTATGTATATAGAAGACCTTTGATATCTGTAGTTCACTTTCAGATACCAAAATCAGTGGATGTGCAAGTCTCATTATATACAGTGGCATAGTAAAATGGTGCTCCTTATATAAAAATAAGGTTTGCATTTGGGATTTTTTTCCAAGCCATGGATGGTTGAGTCCATGGATGCAGAATTATTGGGCTAACTGTACATGCTTTTTTGTGTTAGGCTGTTAACTGAATTGTACGATTATGAAAAGTACACATTTCAACATGCTGGTGGTGTTCTGGTTCAGTGGATCCTGATTTGCTATGCAAAAATTAGACTGGCTAATTTTTTTCTTGCATTATTCCTGCAGGCCCAGCTCATGTTCTTTTTCACCAATATATTCTAGCATTTAATGCCAATGTGTTTGCTTTGATCCCGACAGACACAGAATAGGATGAAGCTGATGGCAGACAACTATGATGATGACCATCACCACTACCATCACCATCACCACCATCATCACCACAGATCGCCTGGGAGGACCCAGCACTCCAATCACCGACCCTCTCCAGAACAGGTTAGTCCTGTCTTTCCTTTCCTTACTTCACAGTTACACTGTTACCATGCCAGTGTTCATGATAAAATAAATCTGCAAGGGGAAAAAAAAATAAACAATGGAAATGATATGCGCTTTGAACTGAAACTAAGAGTTTTGTTATTGAGTTCTATCACTCAAAGAAACTAAATGTTTTCTTTCCTTTTTCCGTTGGCTTTTCATTTCTCTTGTTATGGTTTTCTTTTCTCCTTTTCTTTCATAGCATTTCTAAAGGTTTCTAATTCAACTATTAAAAATAATGTTTCTAAAGAATTGGTTTTTTAAGTACACATTTTTGTTTAGATAGCTGTTCTGTTCCATGTATAATTTATTATGCTTGTCTTTTATGAACCCAACCTAGCCACAAGAATATAATCAGGTTGAATCTGCTCACCAGTATCAGTATAACATTGTTCTTACAAAAGAAAAAATTGAGAAATACTTTTCCTACAGTATCTAATTATCAAAACAACTGAGGAAACGTAGTTGCTTCTGGTTTTATAAACTAAACTTTGAAACATCATCGAATGCCTAGGGTATATTCTGTCAGCACCAAGAAAAACAAGCTAACATTATTTGGATTTACCTCTTATAAAAAGAAGAGACAATTAGAGTAATTGAGCTTAAGGGGAGGATCCCAGTGTTTTTTCTTAGATGTCTTTCACAGCCAGGAGGAAAGGAAAATGGTCTTAGCATCTCTGTGCCATATTATTTAGCAAGGGAAGTGTCATCTAGGTGTCAGCTGGAAGAGGATGGCAGAACTTGGCTTTCATTTCTAGTCATGTTGGAGAGTCTTTAAAAGGGAGAGTTTTGTGAACTTAGAGAAGTGGGTGTACGGGTACAACTGTGATGGTTTGATAGAAATGACTGTTTTTCTTCCTCTCCACCAAAATAAACTACAATATTTAACAGAGTGAGCCAAAATGTCTCCCAACCTCTCCACTCTGTGTTGCTTCCTGGGAGGGGAGCAATTTGAAGGTTTAAAGTTTTTGAAAAGAACTCTAATGTCACTTTAAGGATTGACAACTCTTTGAGCCAAGAAGAGCAAAAATTTACTTTATGAGTCCTTTATGAGTGCCATATGTATTAGCTGCTGTTAGTTTCTCTTGAAGGGAGAGGAAAAGTTTGGACTGGAAATGAGTGGATGGAAGAAATAATAGTGGGGCAATAATACAAGCATATGTAGAAAGCAAAACTCCAGAACATGGAAATACAATGATGGCATTTGTGTATTTCAAGGCATTGGGTTATTCAGAAAGTTTTAAAAGATGGATAAATTATGTCTGAAAAAAGTAGGTAGTGTAGACAAAAATCTTAAAGTTGCTATTTAAAATTATGCTTCCCAGAATCCCCCAGACCAAAAGAATATATAGTCCTTTTTAAAATTACATCTCCCAGAGCCCGCCAGCCTCCAAGAACCATTCTCACTATGAAATGCAGAGAGCTATAATAAAAATAAAAATAAAATAAAACTTTTTCCAAGGTGAGAAGTATATAACAAAGGAAACAAATTAACCAAGGATGCTTTCACATTACACCGTTATAACATCATAATTCCACTTTAACAGCCATGGCAATATCTTATGGACTTTTGGAATTTGTCATTTGGGGAGTTACTAGAGCCTTCTGACTGAGCATTCTACCTTCCCAGCATCAGATACCAGGATTTTGTAGAAACATTGCCATGGCAGTTTAAGAGGAATGATAGTGTCATAACTATGTAGGTGTTTATCACAGGAGTTGGGCAAATTGTACTTATAGCAGGACAACAGCATATTTGGCTTGGACTTGTGACATAACATTGGCCTTTCCCAGTGGAAAGCAGCCTAGAAAGTGTATCTTTTACTGATAATCTGTTAATGATTATTTTGTAAAAGAAACACCTTCCAGCAGTCTCCCACCAGAAGATTCCAGTAATAAGTCAGGCAATAAATCCAAGGCAAAGATCCTATCATCCTGTTGGAATTGGAATTCTAACGTATTTTCAGATTTCTGGCCATTGTACTGTGAACTGAAATGCGGCAAACTTAAATGAGTCATAGAATCATAGAATTGGAAGGGACCACGTGGGTCATCCAGTCAGTCAGAAAGATGTCATCCCAGTGTAACCTTTCTACCGATGAAATTGAGCACAAGCACATGAGAAATGCTTGGACATTCATAAGGTGACAGGGAAAATTGTTCTGCTCTAAGAGTTGGCTCCAATTAATAAAAAGTGATGGTCCAAGGAAAGAGTATGTCCTATAGTTCAGATACACACACAAAAAGCCAGGTATTGCAATGCAAGAGCAAGAGAGGTTTTCAAAATAAACCTCTTTGTGGAGAGCTCCATGTGGAGCCCAGTTAACTCTGCTCCTAGAGGAAGAAGACTTTTCTTTTAGCTGAAAGGACATTGTCTATTCTAATGACAATTAACTCCTGCAGTATGTTATGGATGGTTGTTCTAACATAGCTTCTTGACTGAAATCCTCAGAAGGTAGAAAGCAATGCAGCTTAACTCAGTGGGGGCTGGCCCTGGCCAAGGAGGGCTATTTTATGCTGGGACATCCAGACCTTTGCAGACAGCATGGGAGCAACTTCAGATCCACAGCCTGAAGGGCATATTTGTCACTTTTTGACAAATGAAGGCCATTGTGATGTGAGGACAGCTATCTTTTCCCCACAAAGCATCTCAGAGCAGGACTATGTGAAGTCACATGATCTTGGCTTTCTTTGGGGCCCATGATGGGACTTTCTTTGGAGCATCCCACAGCCGTGGAACTCTTTCTTATCTCTATCCCTTCTCAATTTCTGGGTGGCAGTGAAGACTCTACTGTTTCATATGCCCTTTAGCTGTTAAAACTAGAGGTGTCTGTTCTGGAAGTTTTTAAATCATTCATCTGATTTATTTTATAAAGTTTCAAATGTTTTCAATTGATCTGTGATTGTTTATTTCATGTATTAAAAGTGTTTTTGTGAATAATGCATTGCTTTGAAGCATTGGTAGGTCAAAAGGTGGTGAATAAATACCTTGCATATAAACAAGCAAGCAAGCAAGCAAGCCCCAGAGAACAATGCTATCTCATGATGTAGTGTTGGTCCCATTAAGTCCTTCTCAATGCGACCAAGCATCTGTCTGCAACTTTTGGATTGTCAGCAAAGGCTTCTTTGTAAAAATCTATAAAACCCATTGCTGCCTCCTCATGTAATGGAAAAATCCCCAGATTTATAATTGCTTAGTTCACTCTGCAAATCTCTAAAATAAGTTATTTCTTAGCCCATTTTTTGCTCTTTACTTTGCTGCCCCATAAACCACAGAGAAGATATCTGGTAAATATTCCAATGAACTTTAGTTCAAGGCTTATCTCTAGCTGATTATTGCATATATATTGTGAGTCGTCCCCCCCCCCAAACACTGCATTGATTCTATGATACTGAAATGTAGACATCAAATCCACATATATGATTAAAGTACTTGACTATGTCCTACTCTTGTGTCTACTCAGTTTCTTAGAGCTACCGTATGGCAGGGGTTAAGGGACTGAGGGGTAAACTTATAGAAGTTCCTGTCAAAGGGGGTAAACTTATAGAAATTCCTGTTACAAAATTTTCCCCTCTTGTGTCTACTCAGTTTCTTAGAGCTACAGTATGGTAGGGGTTAAGGGACTGAGGAGTAAACTTATAGAAGTTCCTGTCAAAAAAGGAAAGGGGAAATACCTCACTGACAGAACACATGCTTTGCTTGCAGAAGTTCCCAGATTGAGCTTTCCAGTTCTCCAGTTAGAAAGGAGCAAGTATCATGTGATGGAAAAGACCTCTGCCTGAAATCCTTAGATTGAAGACAGCTTCCTACACTTTTTACTGAAATGATTACTAAAGCTAGACTGCTAAACACTTGCCAGCTCATTGTCACAAGTCTGAACCAGCCAAAAGACTAGGTTTTCAAGAAAACCTCAGAAAGTTAGGTTGTGCCAAATATTATCTAATTCATGATTCAAACTGCTGAAGAAATTACTGTAAAAACATTTTTACAAAACCAACATTATAGACCCTTGCCATCTCTTGCTCTACCTTGTCCCATAGCAGTTTCTGTTTCTTAGCACCATTTTCCTAAGGGAATTGATTTAGTCTCCTCCTTTTTGGTTATCCTCATAGTTATCTAGTCAGAGGCAGTATGCCACAGTATATCTCAGCAGCTGGAGAGTTCAGGGTGGACAGTGCAGGTGCTGTGGGCCCTTAGTAGCCATGGGGGTTGGTTGCAAGACCCCTGTGAGCACTAAAATCTATGGATGCTCAAGACCCATTATATACAACTGGTAGGGAAATGGTGTCCCATATATAAAAGGCCAAAATCAAAATCTAAGTTTTGGAATCTTTTGAGGGGAGGATGGATATTTTTCAAGCCAAGAATGGTTGAATGGATGCAGAACCCATAGATAAGGCAGGCTGACTGTACACTGATGACCTGTGGGGGATATTCCTATAGGGAAATGATGGGCCACCTTGTGAACAGAATGTTGGACTAGATATGCATTTAATCTGAACCAGGATGGTTCTTCTTATATTCCTATGTTTTTACATTTCGGGTAGAAGACAGAGAAATGTATCACCAGCATAGGAACCATTCAGGATAAACCTATTGAACTAGAGAATATCAAGGCTAATAATCCACAATATCCGCTTTGAACTGGGTTATCAGAGTCCACATTGCCATATAATTTGGTTCAGTGTGAATTTTATACAGCTGTGTGGAAGGGGCCTGAGGGTAGTGAAGGGGAAGGAAAGTGAGACAAATACCATCATCAAATAAAAACCAGAAAGAGCAGAAAGCAAGACGTGCATGTTGATGCTCCTAGAAATGAACCTACAACAAAACAAGAAGAGCTGACTCAGCCTCAAGTGTAAAGATCCAAAGAACTTTCTTACTCAGACAAGTGAAGTTTCCCAACTCACCTGGTCCTATGTTAAAATAGTTATTGCTGGATACATAAGCAGGTTCAGAC